GAAGTCTGAGCCAATGATCTGGTCATGGAGAAGTATATCTGGGTGTCACCACTGCACTGAGGCCATGACAGAAGGCTTACCCTGTAGGAATTTGGCCCTCAGAGTGGATAAGGTTCCTCACCCCTGTTAATGTGAGGACTAGTCTTACATTGTGTTGTCTAGTTTACTTACAGGATTGCTTCCTTCAGTATAGCCTACCCCATACACTCAAGTCCTCTTGGGGACATTTACTTCAGCAGGCCAAAACTAGATTGACATCTGTCATCCAAAGGACCTTTTTGGCATCTGTCCTTGGACTGTGAATGACCTGCTTGGAGAGAATACACAGCTAAACATAAACTGTATTAAAGACCTCTCATCCGGTACGTTTACCTAGTTGTTTTTAAACTATGAATTTTCAATTAGTATGTTTTATGTTTAGATGGTTTTCATGTGTCCTATATTTTTGTGAGTTAATCTATGTGTTTTAATGGTTTTATGTATTTTAATATATGTTGTACCTTGCCTTGAGCCTTGGGAAGAGGCAGGTAAGAAATACCGTACATTTTTTAATAATAATAATAATAATAATAATAATAATAATAATAATAATAATAACGACAACGACAACAACAACAACAACAACAACAATTGATTCCCTTACTTTTCTGCTGCCCCAAATGCACTGATAATTTAGTCCTATACATGATCACTGATAGGTAACTTCCATGAGACTTATTCCCAATTATAGGATTCTGGCCTGAGAGAAAGTTATTTATATCTATCTATATCTTTATGCCCATCCCACCCCCAGTGGTAGATTTCCTCCTATTTGAAAGGCTTAACTTTCAACACCCAAGTTCCTTCCTTAGTTCATTTTCCTGTCAACCCTCCCTGGAAGAAAGAACATTCAAAGGGCCAGATTAAGGTGGTCATGGTTCTGAAGCAGTTTCACCCTGAGAGCCCCTTCTTTGCACACATGTTAGCTCCCCTCATTGGATCTGTCTTAGTGGAGTGGCCATGCTAAGAGGAGCCCTTCCTGGGACCAAAGTCATCCCCTTCCAGGCCCAAGGCATGGAACCATTCTGGGCACCCCTCCCAATCTGTTTCTCAGATGGTGTGACCAAACCTTCTCTGTAGCTGGGGAGTAAGGCCAGGATGGGCTTTGAATGTTGCCAGCCATTAGGGAAGGCTGGTGGAGGGGAGATATACGGTACATACTTCCTCTCCCCAGGAGGATTTTAGTTTGATAACATGACAATGCAAAATGTATATGTGTAACACTACTAGCAACATGAAGGCCCTGGAGCGTTTGCACCAGTTTTAAAAATTAATTGCACTTTGACCCTCACTGTGAAAATTGATTTACTTTAAAAAATGGTATGTTTTTGAACCCAGGGTGATCACTGAAAGCACTGCATCATGGTTTAGCCAGATAGCTGTTGTCACAGAAGATAATTATGAAGCTTGGATCTATTTGGGTAGTTTGCTTAGGGTTACTTCTGCTTTGACATATTTCACTGTTAAATCAGTGGGGGAAGAATGCTTTGCAGTGGCAGCCATTACCTTACTGTTGCTCAGCGCTTGGAAAAGTTCCTTTTTTCAACCATAATTTCATTTAGTTGACATGAATTGTGAAAGCCGTGGTCTCAGAAGGTAATGTTTCCAAGTTCTGGCATGATTCTGGAAATGATTTGTGGCAGAAACTAAAGGAAGGAATATGCTGCCTTCAGTTGGAATAGTTTTCTTTCCATACTCTTCTCCCCTTACAAGTGTTCTTTGGTGATTCTTGAACCCTTCTTTGCAGTTCACATTCTTTTCTTTGTATGAAACCAAGGATCAATGGTCTTGGATAGAGCTAGCTAATATTACCAGAAACTGACTTAATTCTTACAAGTTGGAAGTGTATCATACAGAGATATCTTCCATCCAGTTTGGTACTGTTTTATTTTATGGAAGGAGAATCATTGCAACTTTGGGCCTTTGCAGACTGCCAGAAATAGTGCAAATTGAGTCCACTTTAACTGCCCTGGCTCAGTGCTAGGGAATCATGGGAACTGTATTTTTTTCTGAGAAATTGATCCTTCTCTGTCAGAGAGCTCTGGTACCACAATAAACTACAGTTCCCTTGCACTGAGCCAGGACAGTTAAAGTAGACTCAATTTGCACTATTTCTAGCAGTCTGCAAAGGCCCTAAGGGGCCTAAGACACCATCTCAGGATGTTCAAACGACAGTGGTTTATTAATAGAAAATCCCAGTTGTTTTGGCCTATTTGTGCTCTAAAGGCCCTCTTCAGGGGATTACTTAGAATCAAACTTCAGAAATTTCTGAATCAAAAACTCCTAAATAAAATACTGTTTTTGTGGATTCCATTACATAGGTGCTCCCCAGTTTTTTGTTTCTTGTTTCGCTTCTTTTAGTGTTTTTATTTTACATGCCAGAACAAATGAAGTAGATTTCAAAGAACCTAGTTATCTTCTTGGATTTGTGGTTAAACACTTTGGATAATGTTGACCATCTTTAAGTCATATTTAGTTCTAGAGAATTAAAAGTAAAAATAATTGCAATAGTACTCACAGCTTAAAGTGTCCAGATGGAATTGAAGAGTTGAATATTGCCAAATATTTCTTTGATGGGAAGTCTGGCTATCTTCTTGCTTGATTGCTCTATGGCTGGCATCCTTTTGAGTAGTGCCCACAAGAGTAGACCATTCAAGCAGTTGTTCAAAGGTATCAACACATAAATAAATCTAATGGATTCAGTAGGTCTTTCTAGTCAAAACTAAAAGAGAGTGTAGGCCATTGCATTGAGACTTTACCATAATAAATTGTGTCTGCAGCCCCCTCCCCAAACCAGACCATATTTGATGACAACTACTGTGTGTGGAGGGGTTGCTCCCTTGTGTCTGAGAACTGGTGCAAACTCATTATGATAAGTATTAGGACAGTGTATGGGAGGAAATTTGCATTTTACCAGGCTATTACCCTTACAATATTGGCAGTAGAGGCAGAGACTAATTTTAAACTCCTTTTACAGTTTTTTTTCCTAGGGCAGTCTGTTTTATTTATATTACCAGCTTGCCTGGGAAGAGGTTATTTTGCAGTCAACAAAGTGTTTGCATAATTGTCTAGGATGGTTTATTCCAGAGACATCTTATGGCTTTGTCCTTCAAGGCAGCTGAACTCACCTCTTTTCTTAATGTGGCATTCGTGACTACCTGGACTCAGATGGTGATTCCATTGTAACAGAATATAATTAAATAGGAAGGATAAGCACTAAACAAATAAAGATTGGCTGGACTTCTCCCAGCATGCTTGTGGCATCCTTAAGTTGCAGTAGTGGATGTTAGCCAAGCAATAGGGAGAAGAGTCTATATGAGACCATTCTGTGGCTGTACTGTATCCAAGATAGCATCTAATTAAGAACAGATGCTAGAGTTTATAGCCACAATCTGCTTGGCAAATGTCATACCAAAGCTTGGAAAACCTACCTTTTTGGATAAGAACTGCTAGAATTTTTCTAGCCAGTATGGCTGCTAGCCAGGAAAAGTAACTTTTCCCATGTCCATTTCATAGCAGACACTGAAAAGTTAATTATCTTCACTGTGGAGGACTGAATGAGGCATAACAATGGATGGACAGCATGCAGTTTGTCCATTTAGTCATTCCCTTAAAAAAGAAAAAGAAAATTACAATGTTGGAAGAATTTTCAGATGCTAATTGTAGTGAGTATTTATTCACTCACTTTTGGTCTTTAAGTGAAATACTGTATATATGGGTCGATCATGGGGAAAAACTATTTGTATTGATTGGATCTCTTTCTCTCTTAATGTGACATTTATATATGTGTGATCAAGTCAACTTAAAACAGATTTAAAAATGCACACCATTTGCTGGTTTTAGTTATGAAGGCAACTTCACCTTATGGTGACCCTGTGAATAAGAGATTTCCTAGATCTGCCCTTCTGAGGTCTTGCAAATTCAGGGCTGTAGCTTCCTCGACTGAATCAATTCACATTGCCTTCCACTTTACCAAACATTATTGTCTTTTCCAGTAAGCCATGTAATTGCATAATATGTTCAAAGTACAACAACCTTTGTTTAGTCATTTTTACTTTTAGGGAGAGTTCAGACTTAATTTGTTCTAGAACCCATTCATTTGCTTTTTAGTAGTCCATGATTTTTATAGAAAGAAATCTTCTCCAACACCACGTTTCAAATGAATTGATTTTTGTGTGTGTCAGCTTTCTTCACTGTTCAGCTTTCACAGCCATACATGGAAATTGGAGAGACTATAGTATGGGTGATTCTGATTTTACTATTAAATTATATACCTTTATCGTTGACCATCTAACCTAGTTCCATCATGGCTACTTTTCCAAATCTTAATCTCCTATTGATTTCCTGACTACATTCTCATCATACAAAAGGAAAAAAAATATAATTATACTAACAATAGAATTAGAAGCAGATAGTAGTAACATGTTATAGAGAGCCAGCATGGCGTAGGGGTATGACTGGAGATCAGGGTTTGATTCCCTGCCTGGCCTTAGAAACTCACTGAGTGACCTTGGGCAAGTCACATACTCTTAGCCCCAGGAAATGCCAACATATGTTGGAAATGATTTGAAGGCACACAACAACAAAGGAACATAACCTGTTGAAAAAGAAACAACAGATAAAGAAGTATATAACATATTCAGAAAGACCCATTAACCCCTGAACAGTCAGCTATCAAAGGCTTGCTGGGGGAAAATGGGTCTTCATCAGCCTATTGCAGGACAGCAAGAAAAGTTCTAGTCTGGCCCCTTTAGGAATGGAGTTTTGGAGCAGGTACTTGAGCTAGTGTGCTGTAGTGGTTAGAGTGTTGGATTATGACTCTGGAGGCCAGGGTTCAGTTCCCTTTTTGGCCATGAAAACCCCCTGAGTGACCTTGGGGAAGTCACTCTCTCTCAGCCTCAGAGGATGCCAGTGGCAAACCACCTCTGAACAAATCTGCCAAGAAAACCCCATAATAGGGTCACCTTAGGGTTACCAAAGTTGAAACGACTTTAAGGCATACAGCAACAAAAATTTATAGAAACAGAAATCTGTTCCATGAATATGTATTTTCATATGCATTTCTGTTTCTTAATGTTTTGCATTCTTTATAGTCTTATAGCTAAGGAATTAAAGAACACCAGTAGAAAAAATGTTGTGCTTCAGTTATAAGCCATCATTCCTTCCATTACCAAATTGGCAGGGTTCAGTTCATTTCTTCTGTGTGTGGTTTTGCCTCAATTCAGGAAGGAGAGCTTTCCAGGCAAGCTAGTGGTAACCAGAGGAAATGTATGACCTTGCTTTGAAACACCAAATATTCTCTTCATCCATTCTCTTTAAAATTAAAATAAAAACATATCCTCTTTACTGTAGTGGTTCTTTTGCTTTATTTTAAATGTTATGTCTGGTTTATCATGACAGTTCATCTATGGGAAAAAAATTTACTGCCAAAGATTGGAGCTAGCAAAATAGATTTCTGGGGTTTTTATAATTCTTTATGTTGTGGATAGTTGGGGGTTTGGTGAAAGTATGGTGTTTGCTTGTGCTTGGAGTGAAAAAACACACAACACAAATGCTTTTTCATGAGAGTTGTATAATCAAATCCTCCTTTGTGGTATGTCTTCATTAAAATCTTTCAGTGCATCTTCAGATATGGTACCTTCAAAAGCAAAATCCAATTTCCACTGATTTACCTTAAAATTAAAAAAAAGAGAGAGAGAAAAGGCTCCCAGCAGTTCAATTATATTTAATCTCTGTTGGTAACACTAGAGTTGATTGTAATAGAGACAACTGCAAACAAAGGAAACCTTTTCCATAGTGTTGAATTACTATGGAAATAAATGGCCATATGAAAGCTGGCCATTATTTAAACCATTTCAGTTATCAGTGCTTAATCTGGTGCTGATGGTCTGAATTGTAAATGTACTATGAAAACTCTGTTCTCTGTGTACTGTGCTATAACCCCTTTAGGACTTTTGCAATAATATTTCCTAGCATATCTTTTGGTCTTTGCTTTTGTGAGCTTGAGTCTTGGAAGCTCTCTCTCTAGCAACTCCAGATGAATAAAGTTGAATTTATATAAATGTAAGTGCTTGCTATACGGAAACTTGTACTGCCAACACTTAAAGGTTGTTTTTATGGACTTGAGACTAGCTTAGTGTTTAGTATATATGTGCACTGTTGCAATTTTACATATTTGTTATTATTGACTTTTTCAGATTATTATTCTGAGAAGTGCATATTGGTGAATATTTTCTTAAAATTTAAAGGTTAGTGTTGCAAAATGTTGGGTAGCGGACATAACATGAAGGTATGAGAGAGGGTAATGTAGTGGATGACAAACTAAAGAGGTAAACCAGAAAACTTGAAATTGGAATAGAAGAAGTACTAATATATTTCTCAATGACCTTTTTGCTTTTATTTGGAAGTCTCAGGTTGCATCTACACTGCTGAAATAATCCAGTTTGACACTGCTTTAACTGTCATAGCTCAGTGCTGTGAAATCTTGGGATTCTAGTTTGGTGGGGCACCAGAGAAGGATAACTATTTCACAAAACTACAAATCCTAGATTTCCATAGCATTGAGTTATAGTAGTTGAAGCAGTGTCAAACTGTATTATTTCTGTAGTATTATATTCCTTTTGTTTAGGACAAACATTCAAAATGAAGACATGTAATGGGAGTTAGAAGTAGGATTCTAAGAAGGATGTGCCAGAGATTTGGATATAATGGGTGTGGAATCTTTACAGGAGTGATTAAAATTATTTTAAATGAAAGATTAAACAGTTACAAGTGTTGATTCTAGCTGTGTCTAATAAATACTTCTTATTCTGCAGGTTAAAATATATAGGCTGAAATGCCATTCAGATTTAATATATCTTCTTCAGAAGAAATGCAAAAATCTTGCCCTTGACTTTCTGTTGTAGTTCACTGTAGTCTCTCAAGTCAGGCTGATCACATTATCTGTGCTTGCTTCTTTTAGAATCATGATTTAATCTGATTTTTGAATTTAATGTAATCAGGTGGCATATAAAGTAGTGCTTTGAGAGGTTTGCAGAGCTTCAGTAGCAGCCAATACTAGGTGGTAATGCTTTAATGTGGTTATAAGTTTCCATCTTCTTGTGCCTTGTCCTTTTATTTTATACCTTGTTTTAAGTAAAATGAAACTTATGATTTGAATGTTGAGATTCCTTTGCAAAATAAATGTTAATTGCTTTATGAAAAAAGGTCAAGTGATCCATTAATAAGGTCAATATTTGACCAAGGCTAAACAGGTCATATAGTCTTATATGGGGTGAGTGAGAATTTCATATATATTAATTTATTAGCAGATTTTGTTCAAATTTGCATCTGCTATTATATTTAGCATTCTTGGTCCATGCTTAATTCTTAACTTAGGGCCTCGGCAGACGGCTTATTGAGCCGTCTCCGAGGCCAGGAAGAGGAGGGGCCACCGCACGTGCGGCGGCCCTTCCTCTTCCTGAGGTCGCCCTGAACACTTCCGGGCCACCGGACGCCCGGCGCGTTCAGGGCGACCTCCTCCCACAGCGTCCGGACGCGCTGCGGGGGATAAGTCAGAGAAAGGGCGCCCGCCGCTTTTAGGGCGCCCTTTCTCTGACTTATGAAAGGAGCGCCAATTTGGAGCTCCTTTCAGGGTCGCTCTAGGAGCGCAGCGGTGGGGTTGCCATAGCCCCGCGGCGCTCCGGACCAGGGCGTCCCAAACACCCTGGTCTGCAGAGGGGGCTAGTTTCAATTCAATTCTGTTAGTGTTGTATTAGGATTACCACTTTTTTGTGAGGGGGTCTTTATCTTTAAAACCTATGTAGCTTTGGCCCTTTCCATACTGGGAATAGCTGTACCTGTTCAATTTAACTGTTGAAAGTTGAGGGAGAATTTTGTGTCCATTCTTCTTCTTCTTCTGTAATAATTTGTCCAAATTTAGAAATTTCTTAATATTCAGACAAAACATTTAAGGCTTCACCATTCCAAATGTGGGGAAAAATGGAGGTAACAGATTTCCCTGTTCTTAGTCCTGGCAACTTCAATCAGAATTAGGGATGGGTTTACTTCACAATGAAATAAGAGGGGCTTAAAATCGCTTGGCTTTAGACAAGGTCATATGCCACAAAAACTGTAGTTATTGAGGCAGGCTGGTATATTGATATATCAGATAACTAGCACCAGAGATACACACATAGCATGTATGCACACTTGATGCATATAGGATATTTAATTACCGTATTTTCCGGTGTATAAGACGACCCCCCATTTTCCCAGTCAAAATATAGAGTTTTAGCACCTCTATCCTCCTTATCCTTATACCCGACGTATAAGACGACCCCCCTCTTTAACCACAGATTTTGCTGGTTAAAAAGTAGTCTTATACGCAAGAAAATAAGGTATGTCAATCAGTTTGATCTCTTTAATTGTAAGCAAACAATTTTTTCATTCAAATGAGTGATACAAATTGAGTCACCCTTATCCAGAATTGGTTGGGACCAGAAGTATTTTGGATTTGGATTTTTTCCGTATTTTGGATATGTGTATATATGTAATGAGATACCTTGGAGATGGGCCCCAAGTCTAAATATGAAATTTGTTTGTGTTTCATATGCACCTTATACACATAGCCTGAAGATAATTTTATACATAATATTTTTAATAATTTTGTGCATGAAACAAAATTTGTATACATTGAGCCATCAGAAAGTAAAGATGTTTCTGTCTCAGTCATCCACATGGACAAAGTTGGATTTTGGAGGATTTTGAATTTTGGAATTCTGGATAAGGGGGACTCAACCTGTAGGTAGTTTTACTTGGTTGACAGATTGTTTCTACAAATAGTTACTTTCCTGTACACATGTAATTGCAACATTTATGACTGTGAAAGCCATTTAAAAATCCTATGACATTTAGGCAACAAACTTGTAGCTATATTCTGAGGCAAATGCTTGTAACAGATTTCTTTCTAGTTCAAGCTAGTGCTTCTGAATGGCCTGATTTCTGGCTTGTCCAGAAATGGAAAAAAGCTCCCTGGAAGTAATTAGACTTTTATTTCTTCTAAAACATTTTAACTGTGTCTTCATGGTTTTTCCTGAGAACTCTTTCTTGAAATATCCTGGATTTTCTTCACTTCCCCTCTCCCTTGTGTTCTTCCTCCTCTCCCTTCCTACTGAACACATGTCACATCTGCAGTCTAGCAATATTTCAGAAATTGACTTTTACCAATTTCTACTGAGCCCTTTTAAATTATTATTCAAGAGTGTTAAGTGCTTTAGCAGTATTACCCTAGTTAAGCATTAGGATAATTTTATTTTATTGCTAGCATTCCTTTTTCACTTGCTTGACCTCTGTTGAAACTGCTGTCCTGGGAACAGTTACTATATTTCTTGGTGGCGTGGTCATCATAGGTTGCTGCCATGCTGCTGAATTAAATGCAGTATGACATTGCTTTAACTGTCATGGTTCCATCCTATGCAATCATGGGATTTTCAGTTTTTGTGTGGCACCTAAGCTCTCTGCTAGAAAGCTAAATATTTCACAAAACTACAAATCCCAGAATTCCATAGCATTGAGCCATAGCAGTTAAAGTAGTGTCAACCTGCATTAATTCTGGTGTGAAGATGCAGCCTTAGCTAGTCTTGGGATAACACATACAGACACTGAGATGTAATAAATAATAATAATAATAATAATAATAATAATAATAATAATAATAATAATAATTATTATTATTATTATTATTATTTATATCCCGCCCTATGGTAACCCAATCAGGGCGGCTTACAAGCATAAAAACATATACAATACCCAACCCCAGAAACCCCTCCCCCCTTAAAACAGTATTAAATCAATAGAGATTAAAACAAACAAT